ACACTGCATCAATTTTGCAAGAAACAATTCTTCTGGAAACATTATGTAATTTTAGACGTGTTATGATGTATTACACGCATATAAGCACTATTTGTGTTACATGGGTATTGTGTGAGCGCGTAATATCGTTATTGGTAAGTGGTCGTGGCCGACTTTGCGCATCCTCCACCTCACGACTTTGATGCCTTCGTGCGAATTTATAAAAAGCTAAAAGACAAAATAGAGTATCAATATCATTAACTTACCTGTGTCATGACGTCCATACAAAATTTCAATAACTTCTGAGTATCCATTCGCTTTTTACAAAATTCGTGCGCAGGAAGTCATTTTGCACTGATCGAGATTACCCCGTTTTGGTTGGTTTGGGTTATGTTAGGTTAGGTTAGTGGGGCACCTGCGCAGACTTTGTTGCGCAGTGGAGTCATATGACGTGCGCATGTGAGGGCACCTTGAGCTCGTTATGGTCAATTGTAAATTATTAAACACTCAAAAATTCGATTCCGTCACTTTAAAAAGAATATTATATTCTGGGCTTCACTTTCATACCTAATTTAAACTTTTTACAAGGATATTTTATTGGACACACTTTCAGTAATTGCAAGTACACCAATCACTTATCACTTAAATATGACAGAATTAATACTGACTGACTTCTGATTGGTCCTCGGTGCCATTGGAAAGTATTGATTTCTTTCCATTGAGTTCATCACAGATGGTACGTCTTATCTTTGGTTCCGTATTTTTCCGTAAGACTGTGTCTTTGTGTTTGTACGTCGTGTCCTCGAGTAAATGTGAGGCAATATTTTTGATATATTTTGTTGACTTTTGACATAGGACACCAATATGTTACCACAAGTTTGACGTGCGCCCACCAAGCATTGCAATTATTGTATCAGAGATTTATATTCAGTTTTTTTTTGTGAGGCGATTTATATTAATAAATGACTCAAGAAATCTGGGCTCTGTCACATGTGGACAGGTAGACTGATAAACATGATGCTTTTCAAAATTAAGTCAGAAACTGAGAACCAGCGCTGGGAGAAAGCCATGGTTCTTCTGGATATAATAGACAATATCATTATTTTCTTTGGTGCCAAAGATAACATCCAAAAAACAGTGAAATTGTTTTCTTGGGACCTGAACCTGCTGTAGTAAAACTGCTATGGTGTTCTACACAAACATGGATTGATATATGATAGTGACTCCATGTTTTTACTATTTCTAACAGCAATGTGTGTTGCTTGTATTGAGTGAGATTGTTACATAAAGCATTGCATTTCTTTATGGGACTGCACAGTTGAGTCCTAGGTAGTACATTACTTTTCAATTTGCAATCTACAGGTTTTTACATTTTACTAGTGTCGATTATTGGCTCATATGGCTTGTTTTAGTACTGGCTGCAAGGTGTTGATGTGGGAAGACCCGTATGACTCTATAATCTACAGCATAGCATCAGACAACTTGTATACGATGATGTGTGGCATGGGTGTTAACGGGCGTATTCATCTGTGGGACAAGCGCCATAGGATGGACACTGGAGTATGTATTGAGTTATTTATACTTTGTGACATTGTTTATCTTGACCTAGCAATGTGACATGACTTTCTCTGATTGCAGAAATTTTACATGTCTGCACAAAATAGCAGTCCTGTTTATGGTGTGGCATTTGACCCATGTCAACTTTTTGCCGTTTTGGACCAGTCACTACATGTTCTGGACTTCACAGTGTTCAAGGACACTCCTGGCAGCAGATGCTGTCCGTGGTCATCAGGTTGGGTGCCACAGTAATGTTAAGTTTTGGTGTAAGTGCTCGTCGTGCACATCTTGTTTCTGTGTCCTGTGCTTATCTCGATGAACCATGTGATGCATGAAAGGGCTAGCCCCATACCTAACATGCAAAATGCACCCTGCATAGAGTCAAGGGAAAGTGCAGAGTGACCTGTGTTCTCCTTGTGAGTTACCTCAAAGAATTTACTCATGTAGTGATAGCCTAGGTTTTGGATCATGAGTCTCTGCCAGTAGTGCACAATGCCAGCATCTTGCAGTCGCGTGATAGTACTGTCTATGTGTGACTTGAAGGGTGAGTTGGGGCACAGTCCAATTGCCACATAGAATGTAAACACAGGTTCCTTCATGATTCTTAGCTTTTGCCTTGCCTTGTGAGACAGCGTTTCGGTTTCTGTCACAAACGTGGAGGACATTGTCTTGGTAAACACTGCATACTGACCCTGTAGGATACGCTTCTCCCTGTCTAGCACTGAGATCTCTGGTTTGAACCGCTTCCCAAACTCTGCCAGCTTTGGGTTCCCAACATCTATAAAAAGTAGCTTGAAGTCATTTGAGCGCTCACCCCAGTAAATCCCCTGATACAACAAGTCATCAACAGTATTGATGGGGGGAGAATAGGGTGGAAATGTGAACAGAGATGTATAACCTGTTGAGTAAGTGGTCATGGTGAGCAGAGAGAAGAAGGCCCAGGATGTGAGCAGGTATCTCATAGCAGCCTGTTGAGGGAACCGGGGGCAGCTGTTCAGCATCAGCATACGGAATGTGTCCAGGAGACAGATGCACAGGCTGTGGTATTGGCAACCCTCTCCAGAAGGCAGCATTCTTGATATGCCATATAAGATGAGAACAAATATGAGTGTGACATGGAGTAGCACCACCCATGTCCATAGTTTGAGGGGCAGATACAGCATCATGGCTGGGGTCAAGGGCCGTGACTTCGGGACAAGAAAAGTGCCTTTCTGTCTAGTCCAGGGTGCTGACATCTGCAGACCCACAGGAGGATTTGCTGTCAACCAAAGTGAACATACCTGTTAGGAAGAAACATTGCTATGAATAGATACTTCCTACCCACAATAGTGTACCACTGAAGTTCCTCCAGTTTCATAATCTGAAATTTGCTAATATAAGTAATATTAATATAGTCCTCTGTGATCATCTGAAATGGGAGTAATACCGGTGTCATTTCATGTAAGGCCATGAAATTTTGGTGATGATGAAGACTTATGAGAAATATTTATGCAGAATATAAAACAATGGTTGAAGATTTCTGTCTTCTGGGTTGTTGCTCTGTGTAGTCTGGTCGATGTTTACCAACGTTTCAGAGATCATACTGCGATGAATCACCCTGATGACCTCTGAAACGTTGGTTAACATCAACCAGACTACACAGCGCAACAACCCAGAAGACAGAAATCTTCATACTCACCGCTGTGAAAACCTCAAATATTACAAAACAATGGTTATTTGTTATCCTTTGTGATGGCAGTAACTTGGTTAAGTTGTGTAAATTATTTGAATATGAATTTAGACCACAATTTGAGGTCGTGTAATTGTTTATAATTTGTATCTTATATGCGTCATGTTTGTGTTTGATTAAATATATTTATTTTGTACAGTCTATACACAAACGTTTGAAGTTTATTGGTGTTGTAAAAATTATATAATATTAAAACATTTTATTGTGTAAAATATTATATTAGTTTATAATTTATTCTAGCCTCTGTAGGTACATGGAAGCATTTGAAGGAAAGTAGTTATTACAAGTTATGCATAATCTTATCATATTGAGCATATCGTAAAGCTGTTACTCATATTAGATACAGTGTCCCAAGCAAAATCCATTATTCAGTTTGAATAAGTCTGACTGTGAAGGTACTGTCCACAGATGACGAGAAAATCCCTGCAAGGGGAAGTCGTTTCTGGTGCGGTGCGGGGGGAATGTTTACTGCCTGGTGGACTAGAGGGCTGCTATTGGTGGGAAGTGTGATATGTCAGAGTTTAAGGCTACTACACACAGACTGAAAACATCAAGCAGTTAAGAGTAGTGTGTAGTGAGCGCACCTCTAATGTGTTCTTGTGGGTGTTGTGATAATATTCTAGATTAAATCACTGTGCCACTGTGAGGTAATCTTAAATCTGTACACATTATAACACATGAAAGCCTGTTGTTCGTTCAGTGGTTGTGGAACGAATGCTTTTAGGATGGGTCGTCACTCACTGCGAAATCTTGCGCATGCGTGTTTAACGCATTCCTAGCAGGGATTTTCTCCTGGTCTGCGGACTGTATGTTTACATATTTAGGAAAAGGTATGCATTTCAGAAAGATCACACAGAAGACACAGGTTAAATGATATTAAAATGCATCTGTACAGTGAAATTATTTGTTCTGTGTAATGTTCAATACTAGCATACATACCGCCACATCTGCATGGTGTTCAGCCACATCCTCAACAATCCTCTTCCAAGGTCCTTTGGAGGTATTGCCCCACACAGATCCATCTTCAGGTAAGAATGTAATGTTCATTTTGCACATAGCTTCACGCACAATTCTCACCTCAATCCCATCAAACTGAATGGCCTCTGTCCCATTAATATTGACATGTTTATACATGACATATGGAGGACACTCAAACAGGGACACCCTGAGACTTGATAAGCGCCCATTTCGTGTTTTCAATGCGTAGTCTATCCAAGGTAACTTGTTTCTTAGAATCAACCCTTCGACTGGATCCCACTGCCCTAAAATCCGTCCACTGATGGGTTCAGTTATAATGAAATTAGTATCTTGTTGCACCACAAGTAGCATTGCTAGTGTGTCATCAAAGTCCCTGAGTGGGGTATCTCCTGTGTAGAAGATTAGTAATCTGGAATATCGCCTAGATACAGCCAATACATCATGTGCCTTCTCAGTGACCATTATTGTACCCTCAGTGGGCACTGTAGGTGTAATCCCAAGCATGAGAACTAGCAGGGGGCAGATTTGTGCTGCACTAGCTATTACTAGTGTTTCCATTGCATTGCCAGTCACCGCCATGTGCAGACAAGAGCAGTTATGTGGGAAAGTAGCCCTCAGTACAGAGCCTGCCATCAGCTCATATAGCTGCTGCATGGTTGAATATAAGGGGAACTCTGGTCAGTCAATATCTGCTGCCCATTGCCAACATCAATACTCTAGGCAAACACGCTCGAGTTCTGTCAATCAACTGCTCTAAGTTGATTCATGTAACAGTCATGTAGGGACATTAAATATTCTGTGGGTTATAAACATGTTGAATAGTATGGCAAGAAATTGCTTTGTGATTACTTGCTGTTCCTTTGTGTAATTTCTGGTTTGCTGTGTATTATAAGATCAGATCTTCAGTGAAAGATGTAATAAATATCTGACATATTTCTAACATCAGTACCTTAAGAATCTATTGTTACTACTTATACATCTCTCACTGTCAAATGATACTACTGTTGGTTTAGTTATCTCTTCAAATTAAAAGTTTTACTTCCAAAAAATGTTAATAGCATTTTAAAGAAACAGTATTTTTTCTCACACACTGTTGGTGATGTGGTGACATCAGCTTTACTAAGCAGATATTGAGATCTATTTTTCTATTGATATTTCAGCATATGTGGATGCAACTGATAGAAATTAAATTTATACCTTGATACATATACCTGGGGGTAGAAGATAAATGCATACAAAATTTTGGTTGTAAAGCCTGAGGGGAAGAGACCATTCAGAAGGCCTACATGTAGATAAAAGGATAATATTAAAACTGAAAATACTTTTGCATTGTTTTCAATTTAGTAGCATGGTAGGCCTAATGTACAAATCAGAATTCAGTACCAAATATGTGTCACTAGAAATTAACACTCCTCATTCATATCAGTATCTGTCCTACTGACTGAATGAAACTTCCATGAACTAAAAGGATTGGGAAACAGCTGTTTTAAACAATGATGAGATAACAGACTGATTTCATGTGCAAGTTTTGTTGTTTGCAAATTTAAGTGCAAACAACATTTCGATGGGTTGAATAAGATTTCAGTTGTACCTTTGTGTTGCTTTGTCTTTATTTCTGTGAATGAAAGTACTTTTTGACTGGTTCATTAATTGTCAACAAGTGAATGTATATTCTAACAGGCTCTTAACTGGTGGCAATGATTTCAGTGATATATTACTTAGCAGATATTTTTATCAGTGATCTATCATACAATTTGGTAGAGCTTAGGCAAATACCATCACTCATAATTAACTTGTCTTGTTAATTATTCATATAACATTCCAGTGTTTTACATGTAATATTACACAACAAACAAGTTCAGTATGAAGTACATCCATCTCTATTGCACACAAATACCCCACAATAACGTCTGTTTCAGAAGATATTGCTATGATTGGTTTTGTTTTATTGCAGCAGTTCATTTTATTAATGGCTAGCAAAGTGCCTGCTGTGTTTCTGCAGGGTGATTCCAGATATGCTTAACACCATTTTGTATCAGTCTTTTTTGTCCCAAAGCTTATCATTGGCCCAACCATCTCATATGTTGCATTGTCATTAAATATCATAGATAAATTTAATCCAAAAACTGAATCCATTTATCTTTACAGTAATATCAACAGTAGTTAGTTTCACAGCTAAGAAAAGAAAGTAATTAAAATATTCATGCAGTAGTTTCATTTAAGAAATTATTGGAACCTCCAAAGACAGATGTACATCTGCCTCCCCTTATTTCAGTAGAAGCTACTTGAGTCTACACACCAGTTGCAAACAGAAAACTTCTGGTTACAGCTGAATAAAAAGCTCCAGGTCATGTCTGGAGAGATGCAGTCACCACTGAGTTGGTCATTTTTAGAAATAAGTCATTATAGACAGGTGTTCTGAATGTATGTTTTCCATCACATTGGAAGGAAGTGAAAACCTAACTAAAACCCAGTAAGGACCCAAAATTTATGTCCAATTAGCCTCTTGCACATAATGGGCAAACCATTGAAGAAAGTTCTCCTAAACATAGTCCAAAGAGACTTGCTTAATGCAAGTCAGCTTGATTTTTCTGTCACAGCATAACCCTTCAATGTATGGCATTGTGGCTTGCTGTATTAATTTTCCAAATTAAAATTTTTGATTTAGTAAAGCAAATTAGCTACTCTCTTTCAAGCAAAAAATTCAGGGTCTCAGTTAAAGACAAAATGACTGTGCCAAGAAAAATACAAGCAGTGGCACCCCAATCATGTACAGTTCTTTTAAACAATGCTCCCCCCCCAAAAAAAAAAAACCAAAGTACTTAACCCACTTCACTGATGTGTTGTACTGACTGCTGCAGCATGACCTCACTTCTCTGGAATTGTGTGAGCACTGGAACATGATAATCAATGAGGGTAAGACTCAGGCCATAAATTTGTCCAGCAAACTTAGACCAATTGAGGCTTAGCTTACAATTAATGGAAGAAAGATCCATTTGTAAATCAAGTAAAATATTTTGGTGTAATCTAATAGAAATGTTATATGGAGATTACACAGAGATGAACTGAATCAGTTAAATAAAAGAAATCTTTTATGCCTGAAAGTGGAGCAGAAGATCAGTGGTATTAGCTCCAAGCTTTCCTTCCTTTAAAATTATAAGAATAGTCTGCTTCTTACTGTTCGTAGTAACCGGATTACACAGGTTCCTATCGACATCTTTCGTTATTATTTTGCACTTCGTTCAAGTAACTCTATTACGTGCTTATAGATGTAGCGGATGCTTGCGAGACAAAATGCTGAGTATATATATATAGTAGTCGAATTCTGACAACATTAAATTTGTAGTGTTATTACGTGTCCATGGTATAAGGTTTGTTAAGTTAATTGTAATTTAGTAAGCAAGTTATCAAACGTTGCCATGATTACGAGGTCAGTTCTTATTGTGGGAATTTTTCTGTGTTTAATTTATAACCTTAAATTAAATCGTGCTACTTCTCAAAATGATCATACAAATGATACAGATACGGAAGAACCAAAAGATAAAGAGAAAACCGGGGGCAGTGAAATGTTCATACCAACACATGAATGGCAGCGTATCAAGGAAGGTAAGTTGGAAACTTGAATTTAAATGTATTTTTTTCAAAGAAGGCATATGTTTTGTGTGTAACATTTGTGTTTACTGTTAACAAACCATGTCATTGAACTGCATGTTCAGTGTTGTAGAATTGTCTGAAACTTAGTGGAAATGTGATGACATACTTATTCACTTGTAGTACTGCATATTTGTGTATATGAAAACTCACTTGTATTATCTGCTGCTTCATATGCATGCACTGCCGATTGTAGTGTGCCATTTTTTTGTACATATGATTTATTTCATTTAATGTTTATATACAGAATTCAGGAACTGCAATAAATTTTTAATTTATTGCCATACTTTCAATGTTATACCAGTTCAGCTTTTTTGCTGCTTGCATTTTGTGTCCATTGCCACCCTCCTCCATCCCCCCATTTGGTATGCATGTGACTATAAATGACCACAAAAACCAATTGTAGTCCTCTGTTTTACTGTTTTATACTACTGGTAAAAAAAGCGCATACTGGCCAATTATTATGCATGATTCTAACCTAGTTTTTATGACTTAAGGAACATTTTATTCAGCACTCCTTAACGTGAAAGCACATTATTTCAGGTCAGTCCATACCAAAAGGTCTCCATGTCAGGTTGAATCTGGAGACAGGGGAGAGGGAAGCCAAGCTGCTGGATGACACTGACAGCAAACGTACGGACCTGACATCAGTTCCAGGAGATGTCCTGGGCCAGGGCATCAGTCCTGAGGAGCTGAAGGCTGCACTGAAGAAATTACCAGGAGAAGAAAGCACAGCTACTCTTGAGGTACTGATGTAGTAACAATCTTAAAACCTTGCATACCATGCAGTGTTCAATATTTATCTAAAATATATAAAATCATGCATACAAACAAAATTGTTTACACTTTGAAAGGCACTTAGTGCCAAATGAATTTTGACCTCAGGAAGAAAGTGGAAGTAAAATTATGTTCCTCCATATTCCAATGATTAAATAAATTAATTTACAAAAGAATTGCATGAGAAGTATAGTTTTTAGCATCTTAGAGATTTTAAACAAAGTGTTAGTACATCATTTATCTAAAATATATACAATCATGCATACAAACAAAACTGTTTACAGTTTGAAAAACATTTAGTGCCAAATGTGATTTGATCTCAAGAGGTCATCATCAGTGGCAAAAACATTAATTCATTAGCCTGTCTATTACATCTTATGATTCTGGAGACTTGTATTATAAATATGCAGGATTATCATGTGATGTGAATTGTACATTTTCTCAATACAATCACCCTTCTGTGGCAACCAACACAGATTTACGATGTACAACATAAAGATGGTGTCTGTTGTTCAGTGCATCAGTGCTTAACTTTCTGTTTGATATACTAATGACTTTTGCTGAGTACCTTCTGTAATGATGGGTATGTTTTCTTTTATACTTTTTATAGCATATTTTTTACTTCCAAGGCACATGAGAATAAATATTTTCAAAATTTTTAGCATCTAAAAATCTGTTCCATTTGCTTACCATAATATTGTGCTTAATGTTTGCTTTATATTTTGTATTTTTTGGGTATTGCGTAAAACAAGGAACTTAATGTTGTACAGTCCATACAAACAAATGTTCCATCTGAGCTTTGGAAGTTTTTACCTACAGTCCAAGTATCAAATATGTGTTGTGGTTAGTATTTAGACATTTACTTGAATCTAAATAACTCACAGAAATTGTATAAAATGTTTGAATCACCTATGTTCTTTATGGTAATGGGTATGTGACTTGCCAGGATGGGGAATATTCCTAAAACGTGAAGATGGCTGTCTTCTGGGTTGTAGCGCTGTTTAGCCTGATAGGAGTGATTGTCCTGATGACAGCAAGGACCTCTGAAACAGTAAACTTCTACCAGACTACCTGGCACTACAGCCCAGAAGACTGCCATGTTTGGACACACTGCCATAAAAACTTCATATTATACTTATTCTTATACCATAGTCAATGTTGTACAGGAGTGTTCTTGAACCATTAAATTCAAGGAATTTTAATATTTACGTGTTAATCCAATGATAGGTGCATTCACTCCGTGTTACAGGACGTTGAACGTGTAAGGAAAAATTTCCGTTCTTATGAAACTCTGAAGAAAGACTTTGAAGATCTTGAGTTGACTGTGAAAACAGATATGGAGCTCCTGAATGAGTTACTGGCTAGATTCAAGGCAGGCGGTGATGAACAGGAGCTCCTGAACATTCTTACTGACCTGGAGTACTTGGTACATCAGTTTGACAACGCTAAGGAGTTTGCACGATTGGGTGGGTAAGTAGTGTTGCCTTTAAAAAAAAAGTCTATACTCTTGCCGTAAGTTTTAATGTTCTGTGTAAGGTCAAGGTTAGTCCCGTGCCGTAGCCGCGCGGTCTGAGGCATCATGCTTCAGACCGGCGATACAGAATACGCGCTGGTTCGAATCTCGGGGGAGAAGAAATTTTTTCATGAGCTTTCGACCAGTGTATGGGACCCGTGCCAACCCAGCATCGTAAGGAAATTTGGGAGCTACAATGAGTAGCGTAATCCGGTCAGGAAAGCTAGCAATGGCTGGGGGTTCGTCATGCTGACCACACGTCACCCTATATCTGGTTGGATGATCGTTCACCTCTGCTTAGGCATGTGAACGTGAGGCCAGCAGTCAAGTTAGTCGGTTTTGGCTCTCTGGAGCTGTTACGCCACGGATTTAATTTTTTAGTAAGGTCAAGGTTATATGTGTACTGTTTGTAAGATATGTAGTAATGAAATGGATATTATACATGAGTGATGTGCTGTTTATGTCTGGTTATGTATAATTGTGTTGTGGTTTTTGGTAAGCTTACAGCATGCACATGTACAGTATAAATCATATACCATTGCATATTTCAAGTTAAAAAAATATGTTGAAACTCTAACAACGAAAATAAACGAAGAAGTGTTACATGATGAGAGAAATAAAGTTAATGAACTCATCAAGTAACACAGTTCATTGCACTTTATGTGTGACCAGTTTGTGTGCACCGAATTCAGGGATGTCTTTAATAGAATCAGGGCCTGATGACGGAGGAATATGACCTCTGAAACATTGGTTAACATCGACCAGTCTACACAGCACAACAACCCAGAAGACAGAAATCTTCATACTCACCGCTGTGAAAACCTCAGATCTTTCATAATACTGTTACTTAGCAGATAGTTTTAATATTTGTTGGTGCAACTGAAGAGTCAAGACATTTTAATTTTGAGGTTTACTGCTACTGCAATACATTTAGTAATGTATTTTAACAAATCTATGATTAATATCTTTACATAAACTTACAGGTTGAATGATTTAGTTCTCCCAAGCCTGAATGCCAGCTCAACGCTTGTCAGGTCTGAAGCAATCAAGCTGCTGGGTTCA